GAGACACACGACTCGGAGAGGTTTAATCAAAGTCGGCAGGTTTCATTTCCACCTGCCAGTCGCCTGCAGGAGCGAAATCCCCCTGGATCACGGCAGGTTTGGGGAGAGGGAGGAAAACGAGGGGGGACAAGCCAGACTGCAAGGGAAAGGAACTTTGTTTTGGTGGGGAGGAAGCATTATGTGCCAAGAGGAACCAATCACCAGATTCTCTGGGCCAGAGGGGAGATGAGGGGTTCCAGGGTTTTGTACGTCAATTTCATGCCTCCCACAAACCCTTAATCCCATCAAGTGACGCTCACAGCCTCTTCTCTGGCTGTAATTAATTTGGAAACCACATGCGCGCACACACTCACACACTCAAGGCTTGAGCACAGAGAATTTCTGTCTCCTGATACCTCATAATCCCAGTTTGCTACTTTCCCCATCACTACCCTCAACCCACATCTGGGCTTTTCCCCCCTCTTGTTCTACCCTGTCTCTTCCTCCAGACCTAAACACATTTCACCTGTGTCACCCACCAACTGATTCTGAGCCTGGTTTTAGCCCTGGGATGTGCAGAGATGTGTCAGACCATGCACAAAGTGCATTTTATGTATCAGCATATGATTAGGATGCTCTTACTCAAGATCTGACTTACAGGAAAGGAAGGATTCATTCACATAAACAATAATTTAAAAACAAAGCTTTCTGCCTGCATGGTTAACTCCAAATATGTGAGATGCTTGTAGCCCAAGCCAGCCTATGAGGAACAGTCTTGCAGAGTAGAATTCATATTTAGATCAAGCAGTGGTTGCGTTTCTTGTTTTCTTGTTGCAAAGAGAAGGGAAGCATTCTGTGCACACTTGTGAGTGGGACTGAAATTAAATTGGGGTTTGAACCGTTCAGATGGCCAGGATCAACTTGAATCGACATCTGCCCGCACCCTCCTGACTTCAACATCCGCAACTGTAATGCACACTCTTTGCTTCTCAGCACCCGGCAGAGGTGGATCCCTGCCCAAAGCGGCTGCTTCCAGAGTCTCTTTCATCCCCTTCTCTCCATTGGCAATGGCCCCCTTTCCCAGCTGTTTTGGTGTGTGCACAGATTTTGTGCAAAGCTGCCAAATGCTCTGGCTTTACATTGGATCACCCCCCTTCTTCCTACTTCCTGGAACCTGGACAAGAGGCCACTTTTGCTAGCACAGCTGTGCCTGGCACTTCTTGAAAGCACCCCCTCGCCTACATGCTCTCTGCTCCTCTCTGGAACAAGGGGAACCTTTGCATCAGTGCCCATTAGTGGCTTGCTCTAGTAGCTGGAAAAGATCTGGAGGAAAGGGGTGGATGGGTCGGCAGATGTTCCAGATTCCACAATCATCTCGCTTTTTCGCTTTTTGCAGAGAAGAACAGGTGGGGGCTGGTGGCAGCAGAGATAAATGAATGGTTAAAAAGGCACATGTATAGGGTGGTGGTGGGGAAACAGGGCTGATGGTGAGAAGCTGGCAAAGGCATTGCCAAACTGAGCTGTAGCAAGACATCAATAGGCAGCACCTTTGCTTTTCTGCAAAGGAGGGTGGGCAGAGCTATTTAAAAGTGGCCGCTGTCTCTGCTACAACATCTTTTTTTCTGAATGGCTGTTTCTGTAGCCTAGAAAAAGTATGTCCATGTAAAACATATTGGTGTAACAGCTGAGCTGCAATGTACATGGGAAGGAGAAGAGATGCTGCCTAGAATTAGATGCAGGAAGATTCGTCATGTTAACTCTTGGGAGGGTGAGATGTTTCAGCCAAACAAGGTTTTTGCTGGGCTATGAGTTTATCTATAACGAACTGTACTGATCTACTGGAGAGACATGTGTTTACAGGGTGGGGTATGTGCACAAGATTAATATTGGCAGCTACTATCAGATAATCCATTGACAAGTGAAGGAGGTGCCTTCCCTACTCTTTTCTTCCTGAGCATCCAAAGACAAACACTTTAATTGCAGTTTAAAGCAAGAGAGTACATTTTTTGATGCTGTGTCTAAAAAAAGAGGCCCCAAAATATTGTGCAAAATATATTTTAAGCATACACCATTTGCATATGCATTGGTGACAGTCTGATATCATATGGGATATAACAGCGTAGGCTGGAGGGCTGTGAACTTCAAAGAGAGAGCACAGGAGTGCCTTAGTCTGGATCAGGCTATTAGTACATCTCCCTCAGTGTAGTCTCATATCTAAATTCTTTGCTGGTTTCGGAAAAGGATCAAGGTTTCGGAAAAGGATCTTTTCCATCTCTATCTGGAGATGCTGCAGATTGAATCTGGAATATTCTGCAGGTAAAACATGTGTTCTCTTGCTGAACTGTAACCCTTCTTTAGATTTAATGACCAGTAAGCAGGTGTTTTTTTAATTAGCAAAAAAAAAACAAGACTTGGAGAATGCGAACAGAAGAAAATACCATCAGATGGTGCAGTGTAACAGGTATTCTACAGGAATGACAGATGTTCTGCAGCAGGTTAGGCAGGTGCTGTTGAACTGAAACTTGCAGCCCTAGCCAGAATAGCCAGTGGTGAGAAATATCAGGCATTTTAGTCCAAAAATATCTGGAGCGTCATATTTTGCTGATCCTCTTATATATGAGAGTGTGCCTGAAACAGTGCATCAAAGTTGCAACATGTAACCGGTTTTACAAACATGTAGCCATGTTGTTTTTTGGAAGTACCATGGGAAGGTCAATACTGTTAGTACAGTGGCATAAGCCATAAAGGAGGAGTGATGATATTTAAACTGGTATGCATATCCATCTATGTAGGGACAGGCAGAGGGGTTAGGTAGCTCTATGTGGTCATTGAAATGTCAGTGCAGAAAGTAAAGGATGACAACAAACTCCTGAGGATAGCCGAGAGTATGAATTAGCACCCTGAAAACCATGTCCCTATTGTCCACATATGCACAGGAGAATAAATAAAGTGATGACATGCTGTAAGCAGTGTACCTCTTGCAGAAGGCAGGAGTGGCAAATCATGGACCTACAATTCCCTAGTGACCTCAGGAAGAAATATTGAGATAAGGGTTAAAGTCCTGCTCAAAAAAGCATCTATATTTCAAGTGTATAGTAAGCATGTGGAAATGTGCATAACAAATGCTAGCCATTGTGCATATTCCTCCGACATTATAGAGAACGTTTATTTGGATTTAATTTCCCAATTTGCTTCCCAGTTTGCTCCCAGAACTCTATACACTAGCCACTTAATATGTATAATTCTCATTTTCAAATGCTTGACCAGTGATTGGAGGATGTGCACAATGAAGAATGTGCACAGTGGCTGATCTAGAAGTGCAAGGCTCTGCTTGTGCAGTTAAGTTGCACACAACCCAACTTCATTTGGATACAAGGCATATCGCTTGGGCAATGTACAAGCTCCCCTGTTCATGCTATTCATTCGCATCCATTCTCCAGAGTGTTTAAGCAAGTTAGCACAGTTTATGAATATTCTCCATTTGACTCATATTAAGCAGAAGGCATAGACATATTATTAATTAAAAGTGTATCACTGTGTTGAAAACTGCCTGAAAAAATGTGCAAGCAAACTACTGATCTAGATACAACTAAAATGACTGGTTTAAGAACATATGGGTTTGCTATGTAAGTGTGTGCCCATGGCCTGATGACGTGTTGACGAAAAACAGGTAAAAAACTAGTATTTCCACAGACTAGTCTATGTTTCATCAGCTTCTACTGACTGGATTCAGAGCTCTGTACTGTAGTCTCCTGGTTATATGCCCTTCTCAGACATGTTCACCCTTCTTCTGTTACTGCTAGTGGTAGTACCATTCCCTGTTTCTTTAACAATACTATCAGTGCATTAGTGCACAATAGCTACTAAGTCTATGCACCACAATTTGCTGTGTGCCTGGAAATCTCTCACCGACCACACCCAAGCAAGCTAATCTGTTGCTAGGAGTTTCCTCCATCAGCCAACACTTCTTCAGGGGGAAAAATGTGTAACCGACAAGAAAAAATCCACAAGTGATAGGGAAAGAAAGTAATTCTTAATCTCTGTGTATTTGGAGGAACAATCAGAGTTTCTTTCTTCTTTGGGAGAAAAAAGTGGACAACAAAATAAGAACTTTGACAGAGGGCCAAGAGGGCAAAGTGCTCAACCATCTTTTCCTGCCCCGTCCTCTCCGCAGACCTTCAATATCACCATGTTGCTGCAAAATGAGTATCTGAGGCTGAGGTATATTTGCCCAAGGCCATTAAGGGAGTTCGTGGGTGAGATGAGTGATAGTGGTTATGTCACAAACCCAAATGTCCAGGGTTCTGTGGCCAACTCCTGCATGCTACAGTTGTGGAAGCAATCGGCAAGGGAGCAATTCAGTGTGAGGCATTTCGTTGTAGAGGAGAAACATCCACTAAAACAGCCACATGCAGTGTATGTGCACTCACACAAACACACACACACATACATAGCCTGAAAAAGACAGCTATTGATACTGGGCAAACTCATGCCAGAAGAGTCAACCAAGCAATGCGTACAGTCAAGAGAGGGAGGAAGAATCTGTGAAACAGACAACCAGAGGGCAGTGACAGCTGCTGATCTACACACAGAGTCAGAGGGAAGACAACCAGCCATGTGCACAAAGGGAGAAAAGGAGCCTGTTGACACAGGCACACACAGCAGGAGAGATTCGGCCCCTGCGACACCCACACAAAACCAGTAAGGAAAAATCATCAGCCACTGATGCGCCCAAAGTAGCAGCCAGGAGAATTATTGACACACATGCACAGTCGAAAAAGAAAAGCAGCCACTGATAGACGCAAAGCTCCTTCAAGGACACCCTTCCTCCATAAGAAGCTCACACTTCTTGCATTTGAACACCCAGCCAGTCCCCTTGGGGGGAAAAAGCCTGCAGACACATGAGAAAGAAGCACGCTCACAGGAACGACGACATGGCCGGCAACGTGGAGCCCCAAGCGTGCATGTTCACAGACAAAGATACACTCAGAGGTCATAGTCACCATCAGGCTGGGCCATACCAGAGATCCATCTTAACCTAGTCTCCAGAATCAGGCAAGGAAATCTCGCTTCGGCCCGCAGAGCCCCCCATCTGGCCCCATTGCCAATCCTAGGAGAAAGGGGGCAGAAACATTTTTGTGATTGGCAGTCATGGATTGACCCTGGAATTGCAGAGAAGGTAGGCCGGCCAGTCAGCAAGCATTTTACCTTTACGATGTACCAAATCACCCAGCCACCCACCCTGGAAACCAGACTGAAAAAGAGATTAGAATGGAAAGCGTTTGTGCATCTTTTAGAAAAAGCCTTCATCTCTATCGGGGGTTTCCCCACATCTGACTTTGAATGCAGTTTTCTAAGGAAACCACACTGGTTATTATGACAGTTTAGTGTCCTCTGCATTATCTCCAGAGTTACAGACACCTTTGGCACCAGGTGACCTCCCCTACCCATCGTTGTTAGTTGTGTTCAGTCTTATCCTATCCATAACCATATTTTTAATATATTCCTCCTTTGAAAAGCGAGACCAGCTTGAGCCTCTTATCATATGCAGAATCTTAGGACAATGGGTTCCACAGGTCATTCATGGATTGTGTGTGAAATACAGGAAAAAAACTGTTTAGAGGATATCCAGAAGATAGCAAGTGGAGAGCAGAGGGAAAGGAATACTGAATGGAACACACACACATGCACACACACACACAATGGGTGCTGTTTCCAACAGCATCCATTGTGTGCTGTAGCCAACAATGGGTGCTGTTTCTTCATTCATAAACCCCAAGAATGTCCTGGAATGGTCCTCATCATTCTTCCTTTGATACAGCACCTTCTGCCTTGCTGCTCTCTGAGGAAACACAATACCATACCTACAAGTGCCAAAGTTATGGCCATCTTCTTAACCTACTACCATCTTAGCTTCCAGCTTCTCTTTAATTTACTCTCGCTAGGCATGCAAGGAATAATGGGCTCCTCGTCAGCATCCCCCAGCTAATCTTTCTGCCCTCTTCCCTGCAGAGGGACCATAGCTTTGGTGGAGCATATGCTTTGCACAAGTGAGCTTCTGGGTCCACTCCTGGGCATCTTCAGTGAAGAGCCAAGCAAAGAGGGCAATGCCCGAGGACCTCTCTCTGCCAGAGACCTGGTGTGAAGCAGAATCTGATGTCCCTTCTCTTTTCCGTCTCCTGAATAATTTTTAACACATCTACCCACCCATTCTAACACACACAAAACACTGCATTCTTATTTCTGTTGCACAGGAAATTGAAAGCTCTTTCTATCAGGCAACATTAAGTTTATGGATGAACAAGAGTTGCGTATAAGTCAGAGGAAGGCCAGAATCAGAGCTTGTGTGCCTGAGGTCTGGGGCCCTGGCGAAAAAATCCACACACTTCACCTGTGGTTTTTATATCTGTCCTAATATCATGGTTTTTTTTTAAAAAAAACAAAAACAAAAACAAAACAGCAAGGTAGGACCAACTCCTTCCTCATGCTGGCATTTCATCATTAGGAAGATGAGGAATTTGGGGAGAAAAGAAACCCAATGGAGAAGGCAGGTGTCTTCTTGAGCGGAGAGCCTTTCGACAAAGCAAAACCACTGCTTTGGGGGGAAGGATTGCATGGAGGCCAAGAAGAGCAGGCAGGGGTTTCTCTCTCTGTGTATATATAGTATGTATATGTGTGTGTGTGAGAGAGAGAGATGTGGTTGCTTGTGTGTCTGTAGAAGGTGTGAGTGTGCTAAGGAGAAAAAGAGAAGGAGACCAGAGAGGCACATGCTGTAATGATGGCAGGGGATATAATGCTGGGGAGCGGATAATGGGCTTCTGTGGGGAAGATGGGCTGGAGAGATGTCTGGGGAGGCAGAGGCAAATCCCAATTTCCTCAGCCTTTGGGGAAGGGGAGAGGGCAGGAAGGCGAAACCAAGAAGGAAGTCTGCCTTTTCCCTCCAAACCCTGCTGCAAGATTTTGGACACATCCGCTCTCTACTTCTCAATCTCTCTGGAGGAGAAAGGCAGGTGGACACTGTGACAGGCCCAGATATGGGATCTTGCTACTCCTCTTTTTAAAAAGCCAAATCCTGACCTAACTCCACATTGGAGCCTCCCCACCCAGAAGAAAACCTGGTTCAAACATCTCCCCTAGAAAGAGCAGAAACCCAGGCAGAGAAAAACAGGCAGACAGATGGAAACCCAGGCCCCTTTCCCACATTAAAATCTTACACTCTTTGCATTGCTTTGAACCGAGGCCCCTTCCACAAAGCTAGATAAAATACACATTGAACTGGATTATATAGCAGTGTGGACTCAGATAATCCAATTCAAAGCAGATATTGTGGATTATCTGCTTTGATATTCTGGGTTCAATGGCCATGTGGAAGGGCCACACTTATATGACAGTGTGGATTCAGGGCCCTTCCAGAAACCCATATCAACCAGAATATCAAGGTAGAAAATCCCACAATATCAGCTTTGAACCAGGTTATCTGGGACCCCTTCCACACAGCTGAATAAAATCCCCATTGAACTGGATCATATGGCAGTATAGACTCCGATAACCCAGTTCAAATCAGATATTGTCGTATTTTCTACCTTTATATCGTGGCCTGTGTGGTAGGGCCCTGAGTTCACACTGTTATATAGCCTAGGGCCCTTCCACACAACCATATAACCCAGACTATCAAGGCGGATAATCCACAATATCTGCTTTGAACTGGGTTATCAGAGTCCACACTGCCATATAACCCAGTTCAGTGTGGATTTTATATGGTTGTGTGGAAGGGCCCTGAGTCCACACTTCATATAACCCAGGGCCCTTCCACACAGCCATATAACCCACAATATCAAGGCAAATAGTCCACAATATCTGTTTTGAACTGGGTTATCAGAGTCCACACTGCCACATGATCCAGTTCAATGGGGATTTTTTTCAGCCATGTGGAAGGGGCCTCAGATAACCCAGTTCAAAGCAGATCTTGTGGGGTTGTCTGCCTTGATATTCTGGATTATGTGGCTGTGTGGAAGGGCCAGGAGTCCACACTGCAATATATTCCAGTTCAAAGCAGATCTTGTGGGGTTGTCTGCCTTGATATTCTGGGTGACATGGCTGTGTGGAAGGGCCCTTAGAGACAGAGCCTCCTCACTCTGCCCTCTTCTTTTTCTCTCTCCCCTAGGAGAAGCTTGTGAAGGGAGACCAGCCCTCACCTTCGACGGGGGGGTGCTTAATTTCCCCTCAACCCAACCCTAACCTTTCGACGAGGAGACGACCCCCCCCCAAAGCATACCCCCTCCCAAAAAAACCACCCACATTTGGCGGCTTTCATTCCAGCGACCTGCCATCTTTGGAGAGGTGTGGCCCCTTYCCTGGCGGCGGACCAAACCTTTGAGGGGAARAGAGGCAGAGAGGCTCCTTTGGTGGGCTCCCTTCCTTCCTCCTCCTCCTCCTCCTCCTCCTTGTCCTGCTCACCTCCAGCAGCGTCTGCTCCCAGCCAAGGCGGGCCCAGGGCACCTCTGCGGCGGAGAGCCCCCCAAAGAGAGCGCGGGGCTCCCCTCTGCCTCGGAGGCCGCCTCCTTCCCTGCCTCGACGCCTGCCTGCCTGCCTTCCTTCCCTCTTTTCCCTCCTTTCCTCGAGGGAAGGAAGAGAAGCCTCGCCTCCTGCGCGGGACTGGGGCGCTCTCCTCTCCGCCTTCCCCTTCCCCGCCCCACAAACCCGAGCCCCACGCTCCCCACGCGTGACCGCCCCACGCTCCTCCCCACCCCAAACTCCCCCTCTCCTCTCTTTCTTTCCCCCATTCTCTATAACCACTAGGCCGCCTTCCCCCTGGAGGGGGCCACCCACGCGAGTTTCCTCGTGGGAACGGCCCTATTCGCTCCTCCGGACCCGGACGCAATCCCTCTTCTAATGCAACAGGGAAAAGGGGAGAGGAAGGAGAAAGGAAGGAAATGTTCCCCCATTTTTTGCCGTCCTTCGTGGGGGGAGAAGGTCAAGAATGTGAAAAAACACCCACAGTCTCATTTTGAAAAGAAAAAAAAACCCAGACGACGCTGCAACCTCTCATTGCAGCCGCATAGAATGGATATTCGGGATCCATGACCAGGAGAAGGATTGAGAGGGGAAGAAACAATGCCACAAGAGTCTCAGTAATACTCATCATCATCACCTCTTAAGGGTATCTCACCCTATAAATCACGCGGGAAAGGGGCCCACGAGGAAAGGGCCGGCACCCCTGGCTTGCCCAGCAACGGCAACCCTCTCTAGTGAGGGTTCAAGAAGGGGGAAATGCTTCTGGAAAGTCACATTTCAGCTCCCTCTCCACTCGTTTGGTTCAAAAGCCAATCCCACTCACCCCAAACTGGAAGCCCCTCCAGGAGACACAACCTGCACCAACTCCACGCGTTTTCCCCACAACAGACACAATTCAAAAGCCTTCCTTACCTTTTCATGACAACTCCCGAGGAAAGGAGAAACCCAGCAAACTGAAGAAGAAGGAGCGCAATATTTTTAAAAAAATCCCTCCCGTGTCTGGAAAAGGAGAGAGAGAAAAATATATATTTCTGTGTTGTTTCCCCTCCTGGATCCTCCTCCAAATACAATTTTATTTAGCGCTCTTTTCTCCCTCTCTCTCTCTCTCTCGCTCCTTAATCGCCTTTTCTCCTGCGGGGAATCAAACTAGCGCTAAATCCGAGCAGCAGCAGCAGCAGCAAAGGCAGCATCCTTGGAAACCCCCCCCCCCCTTTTTTTTATTCCCTCCCCAATTCCTTTTATTCGGCACTCAGGGTGTCCTCTCCCTTCTCTTGGCTATATTTTTCCGCGTCTGTCTCCTCGTTCAAGGTTGTTGCAGCCCATTCTCCCCCCCCCCCCCCCCGCTTTACGCGCTACACATGTTGCATCCCAAAGTTAAAAAGCCCCCAAAACCGGCGTCAGAGAGAGAGAGAGACAGAAAGAGAGTGGACGGACAGAGAGGAAGAGAGATAGACATAGGATGGGTGAGATAGATAAATAGAGGATGGAATAGATAGATAGATAGATAGATAGATAGATAGATAGATAGATAGATAGATAGATAGATACTAGATAGATAGGTTTTTGTGGGTTTTTTCGGGCTATAGAGCCATGTTCTAGAGGCATTTCTCCTGACGTTTCGCCTGCATCTATGACAAGCATCCTCAGAGGTAGTTCACTACCTCTGAGGATGCTTGTCATAGATGCAGGTAGTTCACTACCTCTGAGGATGCTTGCCATAGATGCAGGCGAAACGTCAGGAGAAATGCCTCTAGAACATGGCTCTATAGCCCGAAAAAACCCACAAGAACCTAGTGATTCCAGCCATGAAAGCCTTGGACAATAGATAGATAGATAGATAGATAGATAGATAGATAGATAGATAGATAGATAGATAGATAGAGGGTTGATGGGATAGGTAGGTAGATAGGTAAGTAGGTAGGGGATGGATGGTAAGATAAGTAGGTAGGTAGAAATATAGGTAGAGCATGGATGAGGTAGGTAGGTAGGTAAAGGATGGATAGGGTAGGTAGGTAGAGGATGTATAGGTAGAGGATGGATGGGATAGGTAGGTAGGTAGGTAGGTAGAGGATGGATGGGAAGATAGGTACGTAGGTTGGTAGAAAGATAGATAGGATAGACAGGTAGGTAAGTAGGTAGGTAAGTAGAGGATGGATAGGGTGGGTAGGTAGGTAGGTAGGTAGGTAGAGGATGGATAGGTAGTAGGATGGGTGGGATAGGTAGGTAGGTAGAGGATGGATGGGAAGTTAGGTAGGTAGATAGATAGATAGGATAGACAGGTAGGTAAGTAGGTAGGTAGGTAGGTAGGTAGGTAGAGGATGGATGGGAAGATAATTAGGTTGGTTGGTAGAAAGATAGACAGATAGATAGATAGATAGATAGATAGATAGATAGGATAGACAGGTAGATAGGTAAGTAGGTAGGTAGGTAAAGGATGGATGGGATAGGTAGGTAGGTAGAGGATGGATGGGAAGATAGGTAGGTAGGTAGAGATTGGATGATGGGATAGACAGGTAAATAGATAGATAGATAGATAGATAGATAGATAGATAGATAGATAGATAGATAGATAGATAGTGGATAGATGGAATATGTAGACAGATAAGTAGGTAGGTAGGTAGGTAGGTAGGTAGGTAGAGGATAGATGAGGTAGGTTGGTAGGTGGGTAGGCAACTAGGTAGATGGATGGAATAGGTAGGTAGGTGGATGGATGGATGGATGGATGGATGGATAGAGGATGGATTGGGTAGGTAGGTAGGTATGTAGAGAGATAGACAGACAGATAAATACAGGATGGATGGATGGATGGGATAGACAGATGGGTAAGTAAGTAGGTAGGTAGATAGAGGATGGATGGGATAAATAGGTAGGTAGGAAGGTAGGTAGATGGGTGGATGGATGGATGATGGATAGATGGATAGATATTGGGGATTTTCCCTTCTCCTCTAAGCCTTTGCCACAGCTTGCCTTTTTTCACCCCCAGGCTAGAAATCGCCGCATCGGTTGCGGGAGAGTTGGGTTCTTCCTTTATTCATCCATCTCTCTCTCTCTCTCTCTCTCTCTCCCTCCCTCCCTCTTTCTCTCTCTCTCTCTCTCTCTTCCTTTCCCGCCATCGCAGCCCCCTCCCCTCCCGTTTTCCTTGGGTCACCTTTGCTCAAAAAAAGAAGGAGAAGAAGAAGGAGAAGGGGGCGGAGGCGAAGTCTTGAGAGGCAAAAAAGGGGCGCTGCTGCGTGATATATTTTGATTCCTTTTTAACGCAGAGCAGAAAAAAAAAAGACCACGTCGCCGGTGCCTTTTTCTTTCTCTCCCTCTTCTCAGTCTCTCTCTTCTTTTTTTTTCCGCGCAAGGCAAACGATACACGCGAGGAAAGGAAGGAAGGGAGGGGAGGGGAGGGGAGGGGAGAGGAGAGGAGAAGGGGTCATTAGCATTCAGCACCCATCGCACGTCCCCACCGCCAGGTTTTGCAAAGAGAGAGAGATTGAGAGAGGGAGAGAAGAGGGAGAGGAGGAGGAGAAGCCCAGAGCGCTGCAGTCCTGGAAAAAGGGGGGTCTCCAATGGAGGGGTGCTGTTGGGTCTCGGGGCCCCAAAACGGACCTGGATCGGATCTGGATGGGATCCCTGTCTCCACGGGCTCCATCTCCCCGCGTGGGTCGAGGTGTGTGTGTGTTTGTGTGGCGTGGGGAAGGGGCAGAGAGAGGTAGAAGCCCCCCGCATGGCGCGGCTGGGCTCCCTCTCAAGAAGAAGTGCGGCGTGGAGTCTCTCTTTCTGTGCAGAGAGAGGGAGAAACCTCTCTAGGTTGAGATGACAGCCCCACGGTCTCCTTCCATCTCCCACTAACAATATCCCCACGCGAAAGAGAGAGGGGAGGGGGGAAATCCTCCGCAGAGACAGAAGGTGAAGTTTGACCACCTTCAAAAGAGGAAAAACCCGACTCTTTGGTTCCAGGTTCTTTTCTGAATCTATTGACAGGATCGGGTCCCTCCACCTGACTCATAAAAAAGAGAAGGGGTGTTTGTGGAACCTCACAACCCTCACCAACCCTTGAGGCGGACTACGACCCACATCTCTGGGCATCGCTTTGGATCAGGGAGGAACAAGCCCAAAAGGCAGAAGAGACCCACCAGGAAAGGGAGGAAGGAGAGAGCTTGCAAGCCCTCCTTTGACCACCATCCATGGTGGGCATGGTGCTTGGCAGTGGAAAGCAAAGGGGCGTTTAGGAAGCCCTCAAGGGTGGGCAAGAAGTCTGGGTATTTGGCTCTATTTGGGTCCCACAATGATGGGGTGCATCTGTAGCAGGCCTGGGCAAACTTGGGCCCTCGGGGTGTTTTGGACTTCAACTCCCACCATTCCTAACAGCCTCAGGCCCCTTCCTTTCCCCCCTCAGCCGCTTAAGCTTAAGCTATAGCTTGACACCACTTGAACTGCTATGGCACAATACTATGGAACCATTGGAGTTGTCATTCAATGAGACACCAACCCTCTTTGGCAGAGAAGGTTAAAGGCCTTGTGAAACTGCAACTCCCCTGATTCAATGGCACGGAGCCATGGTACTGCATTTCATTCTACAGTATAGATACTCTCATGGTTGCCAGAAAGAGAGTGGAGAAGGGCAAAGCCCTTGGATGGGGGACCTGATGGAGCTTCCTGAGCTGTACACCCAGAGCATACAGTAGAATCAAAGGCTTGCATTTAGAACCCATCACCATTTGAGCCTCCATATTGGTGCAGGAGGCAGACAGAATCCTTTCAGAGCAGGCCTGGGCAAACTTCGGCCCTCCAGATGTTTTTGAGTTCAACTCCCACAATTCCTAACAGCCTATCATATTCCCCAAAGTAACCTGTGGATGCGAGATCGGGACCATAAGGAAATCTGAGCGAAGGAAGACTGATGCTTTTGAACTGTGGTGCTGGAGGAAAATTCTGAGAGTGCTTTGGACCACAAGAAGATCAAACCAGTCCATACTCCAGAAAATAAAGCTCGACTGCTCACTGGAGGGAAGGGTATTAGAGGCAAAGATGAAGTACTTTGGCCACATAATGAGAAGTCAGGAAAGCTTGGAGAAGACAATGATGCTAGAAAGAAAAAGGAAGAGGGGCCGACCAAGGGCAAGATAGATGGATGTTATCCTTGACGTGACTGGCTTGACTTTGAAGGAGCTGGGGGTGGTGATGGCCGACAGGGAGCTCTGGTGTGGGCTGGTCCATGAGATCACGAAGAATCAGAAATGACTGAACGAATAAACAACAACAGCCAGCTGTTAGGAATGTGGGAGTTGAAGCCCAATACACTTGGAGGGCCAATTTTAGAGATCTTACAGAAAGTCCTTGAGAAAAAAGGGACACCAACATGTTCATTATTTATTTATTTATGTATTTATTTCGAGGTTTTATATACCGACCCTCTCACCTTCAAAGAGGGATTCGGACTGGTTCACAACATGTGTTAACATACAAAAAATATGTTCGCCCTGTTTGCCTTAAGAAAACCATTTGGGTTGTGGTCCCTTTAGCCATGGTTTTGGGGGTCTAAAACCCTAAAAGCACAAGATCCCAATCTGACCTCAGGAACTAAGATGGGCCACTTTTTAGTACATGCGTGGGAGACCCCCAACAATTGCCAGACCGTGTAGGTTACAATTTCAGAGGAAGGCAACAGGAAGTATTACTTGCCTAAGAAAACTCCAGTGAAATGTGTGAGGTGATCATAATTCCACAGGTGATTTGAAGGCACATGAACAGACATTTCTAATCTACCCTGTTGGGATGAGTTACAAAATACATATACACTCGGCATTGTGGTTTGCCTGTTGGACTAAGACGTTCAGAGTTCAAATCTCCTCTCAGTTATGGAAACCTTCTGAATGACCTTGGGCAAGTCATATTTCCTTAGATTCAGAGGAAGGCTAAAGCAAAGCACCCCTAAATAAATCTTGACAAGAAATCTCCAGGATAGACTCAACGGCAGAAACAACTTGAAGGCATGCAATCACAAAGAAGAAGTCACAACTGACTATAGAAGTCTCATTGTAAATTGTCAGACCATTGATCCAGTATATGTGGCTTAAGATAGCTGCTGAATAACTGGCAGCAGTTCTTCAGAGTCTCAAGCCTTATTGCATTCTTGATGCTGGGTCTTGAGCCTTGGAGGCCTTTCTTGTAACCATGTCCTCTGAGGTCCCTGTGGAAGAGAGGAGCTCTTAC